TGTGATGTATTCAGCTGCGGTGTCTATAGTTCTCTAGAACATCAGAGTTTCATTTTATCATACTATAATTTATTGGTTTAGGCAGAATTCAGGACTCAGCGCAAGCTTATGTCTTTGCATGTCGAACACAAGTATTGTTTGTTTGTGAATGGCAGAAATCAGTATTTGCATACAACAGTGAAAGAGTAACGTTCGTGGAACTTCAAGTGCATGTGTGTGTGTGTGTGTGTGTGATCGTCGATAAAGCATCACGGGTATCCGCAAGGTTTAATAAGATGATATTTGCTTGACGTCAGCTCAGTCGTAATTTTGGGAATGTCCTGATGCATTCGCGATGGCGACACCCTCAAACGATTGTAGTTCTGCCTCGACTAGGTCTTTTTAAGTTGGATGTTTTCTTCCAGAGCGATGGTGTCTGTTCTTTGAGCGATTGATGTTTTGTATTTGTTCATGTTATACATGATCAAACCATGAAATTCGTGATTCTCCAAACAGTCGACATGATTCCATGACTAACACATCTTAGTTCGTTTAAAGCTGGAATCAACAAATGTTAAATGTGTATCATTGACTATGTTTTTAGAATTCGTTTAAGCGATATTCATGTCCGTTTAGCAAGGTGATCGTTTCCAAGCCACACAGTAGAGTACAAATAACAGACGACATTCTCGTCGCCTCGCCAGCGTAACTTTCCCTTTTTCTCTTCTGTTTCTGTCGTCCGTTTTCTCTGACTCAGTCTGTAGCCTGTTTTTCAGCGAACTGTCTCTGTTAATGGCCGTGGTCCATCTCTGGAATTGCTTAGCAGTAAGACCTAGGATTCAGTTTCCAAATTAATGTCAGTCTTCGTCCACCGAGATTGTCAACACTATGCCTCATGGCACTAAAATTTTCCGTCAGTGCAGTGTAGCTATTATGCCCAATATATATACACCCAAACCTTACCTGCCACGTAATATTGCGAACATCTTTTTGTGTATTTTTCCCAGACGTCCGGATCATTTAACAGGGAAAAACAATCACAATTGTGAAATTATGACTATGAGACAATTTTTATTCATAGACGGATATTTTCATCAGCCACAATCGCACAAAATTAAAAAGAACCAGTCCTTGGATAATCGCAGCGTCATTCCACTATAGCCCTTCAATTCCGAGGCCGCAGAGTAGATTTCCTGGCTCTCAATGCTATAACCGTGCTAATTGATCAAGTAAAGCTATAAGCATATTTCAAAAACAATTATTTTGCAGTATATTATATGCTATGAAGTACGGCTCGTCTCAAAACGTGGTTTCCACGGAATGAAGGGGCTAGAACAGGTCTTAGAGGCCTGACGGACTTGCAATTGCAACATAAATTGATTCATCATCAACTAAACTTTATTATTTGATTCTATATTTTCGTCATGTGCACTATGTGGATATATTTTTTAATCAAATTATCAATTTGTCATATTTAAAGAAACAGCGTTGAATTCAGATGCTTCTCTAAAAGTGGTTAACTCAATGATGCGCAATTATTTTCATTTTTGGATCAACGTAATGTTCCTTCCCCACTTGTATATCTTCTTCTCTGTTTATGCACAATTTTCTTATAGGATTATAGATGGATTTGGTCGAAAATAATTCTGTAACATCGAGCCGTTACGTATTTTAGGAAGTCACTTAAAGTACGTAGCTAAACAGTTGTCAATCCGTTTGAGAACTCCCGTTTTCTGGTGATTTTGCATATATTTTAGCTGGTCTTTATTCGTCTACAGAACAGTTCTGCCCATTCTGCTGACAGGCGGCATGAACTTCGGTGCCAACAAATTTTTAATTTCTTACACAAGATGGCAGCAGTTCTTTCATTTAAGTTTCCCTTACTTGTCGATCGCCAACTAAATTCCTCCCATTTTTCTTAGTGTGCTCGAGGTCATCGCCGAAATGCGACTAACACCAGAATTTTCCTCGTTTTATTAACGTGCTTCCATTTTTGATTCTCAAAAGTCGCGTAATATTTTGTTCGATATGTAAATAATCAAACGTTTATCGCCTTGAACGCGTAACTCGCTTGTTCAGAGATCTACGGAGTATTTAGCCGTGCATCTGCCTGCTGGCGATTAATTTCATATGCATCTTAATAACTAGCTGG